CCATTCTCCTCTCAGGATCTTGGGCACGCACGCACACGCGCCTGGCGTGAGTTTAAGCCACTGGGTCCGGGACTCAAACCGCGGTCAACTACATGGGAGTTCAGTGACATAGCCATTACGCCAACTGCTGGTCCCAACAAATGTATCATTTTTTAAATTGAAAGTAAACTTTTTTCTTTCTTCCCTCCCTTCTCTTCCCCACAAGAATAGGACATTTATTTATCACCGGCTCCCTTCCCACCGGCCTTAGTTACACTTCGTCACCCAGAGACGTTTCCGACTGGCTCCACTAATGTGAAGTGCACCATACCTTCGGTCCAATTTCTCCAGGGAATCCTTCTTGGCCCTAAAATAGATAGTGTGGAAGATTACAGTACGCACACCTCGCATAAGTGGGTTTACATTCATTTTAATTTTACCCGTTGCCTCCTTTAATTTTAGTACCCTGGGCCAAGGAAGAGCCAAAACAGGTGAAAACTCGAAACTGGGTAGCCCTACTAGAGGAGTGACCTTCCTTTTCAGAATGAAACCTCTGACTTCGACAACCTGAGAAGAGTGACTACAGGCACACCTCTGAGGGTTAGCCAGCTCTCCTGCTCGTAGGTGACAGGGGAGGGCGTCACTGGGCCCCACATCTCCTGCATGTAGGTGACGGGAGGGTGTCACTGGGCCGCCAGTTCTCCTGCATAATGGTGACGGGAGGGCGTCACTGGGCCCCACCTCTCCTGCTCGTAGGTGACGTGGGGGGGGGGTCACTGGGCCGCCAGCTCTCCTGCATGTAGGTGACAGGGGAGGGTGTCATTCAGCCACGTGGCTCTTAAATGGTCTTCTCAAATGGATTTTGATGGAGAAATTTGGGAAGCCTACAGAGAGGTTAAACTCATTAATTTTGGGGTCCTTATTTTGGCCAAAGATCATAGTTGAAGAGTTATAACCATCCTTATTTGATGAAAAAAATACATATTTTATTTAAAGTTCTATTTCTGATGATTAAAATCGATAAATTCTCAAACATATATAAAACACAAAAGAATAGAAAGAAGAAAAATCACTCAATCTTGCCACTCAAAACTATGAGCACATTTTATCATATTTCCTTTTAGCTGTTGTTTATTTTTTTAGAGGATTTTGCCATAGGGCGCATGCACTCACCAGAGAGAGAGAGACAGAGACAGTGAGAGGGAAAGGGAGAAGTCACCCCTTCCCAGGGGGGATAGCTATGCTGCAATCCCTTCTCCTCCATTCTCCTCCCAGGATCTTGGGCACGCATGCACATGTGCCTTGTGTGATTTTCAAGCCACTGGGCCTGGGACTTGAACCACAGTCAGCCGTGTGGGAGTGCAGTGATGTAACCACTATGCCACTGCTTTATTCTAATAAACACTGAAAACCCTTCCTTTGTTTTATTTTTCAAAATGTGTTAGCCTTTCGGTTTATTCCTTTAGACAGCTTCTTCCATATCTTGCATCAGGGTTCACATGGAATGGCTGGATGTATATTAGACTTTTCAATAAGAACGTGAAACGTGGCTTCAGTTACTGACACTCGGCATTTTGCAGAAAGGATACCTTTACGTTTCGTGAATTTTGTAATTATGACTAGGTCTTTTTTATTATGATTTTTTAGTGGCTATTATTGGTATATGGAATCACTGGGCTTGGGGGCAGCTGATGGCATAGTGGTTACGTCTCTGGACTTCCATATGGCTGACTGTGGTTTGAGGCCCACACCTGGTGATTTCAAAGTCACACTGGGCATGTGTGCCGGTGTGCCCAAGATCCTGGGAGGAGAATGGAGAAGAGACTGTGGGGTGGTCAGCCCCCACCCTGGGAGTGACTTCTCATAGCTTTCCTTCTCACTGTCTCTGTCTCTCTTTATGGCAAGCACACCCACCCCAAGGCAAAAACTTCTTAAGAAAAAAAAGAAGTAATTAGTAAACTTATCTTACTTTCAGCAACTTAAATATTCACTAACAACATAAAATCACTCCGGTCTTCCGTTTTGTTTTAAGTTACTGCTTGGCCCAATCCATCAGACACACCCCCGAAAACTTGTCACCAATGGCGAAGATCGCCTAGAGGAGGCTCGCTCTGGAGAGCCTCCCCGAGGCCCCCCGGGCAAGCGTCTGACAGGAGGGGTGCGGCTGCTGCGCAGGGGACAAGCGAGGCCTCGCCACGTGCCACACCACGGGGGACTGGTGACGGGACGCTCGTCCTCACATTTCAGGCATGGCGCGACCTTACGCTGTCACTCTTGCCTCCTCTGCCACATTTATAAGCAAGTGAGCCATCAAAACGCATGGAGATGTCCCGACGTGCCCCCTCACTGGCTTTCCTAGACGCAGCAAGAGCAGCACTAGGCCCGCCCGATGCGGAGAGGGGCCCACGGACCGGCCTACCTTTGCGCCTTTGCTTCCGACGCCCCCGTAGCCCGGGCTGCCGTCGTCGCCCTGCGGACAAAGCCATGGATCACAGACATCCCTGGGCCGAGAGGCGGGTTCTGGGACCCTGGAGGGCAGCCCCCTCCCCCCACCACCCGGGGCTGACGTTTGTGACAGGGCGAGGAAGGCTCTGGCCAGGAGCAGACGACCCCAGCCCTGTCTCCCTACTGTGAGACGGACAGTGATGGCCCTGCTCGCGCTGTGGTTAGAGGGTTAAATGCAACAGTACCAGGCACAGAGAAATCTTCAACTTCCTCTTCCAGGTAACATGCGTGTTTTAATACCCTAGCTCAAATCCATTTAGTTTGCCAGACAAAAATAAGGGTTGGCTACTGTCCGAGCCTTCTAGAAGCCCTGAGCATGGGGAGGTGGGGGAGGGGGGTCTGATGAAGTTCTGAGGAGTGGAAGGGCTGGACAGGGTAATGGGGGTTCACGGCAGGTTTGGCCCGCTTGGCTACTTGGGTGCATGAGCATCCTGGGGTTCGCTTTAAAGCTCGTCCGAGGACCACGCCAGATAGCTATCGACTGGAAGACCCCAAGGGCCCGATCAGATGTAGGGGTGCAAACCGGTAAGCCTCGAGGACCAGGGAAGCCGACGGCTCCTTTTCCTCCCAGAGCGCCAGGGTCTCCCTGTTGAACAGAACAGTGACATGTGTCTCCGTCAGATGTCCTTGTAATGCAAATTTGAAACGAAAGATGTAGAGCAGCTTCCCTGCACCGTGGGCACCCCGACAGCAGCCCTGGGTCTGCGCTCCTTCTGTGTCATGCAAGGGAACAAGAGGAGTCGTAGGCCAGCGAGGCGTCCTGACTGATCGCTGCAGTCCTAGCGAGGCTGGTTTACTGCCAGGGCACGCTGCCGTGCCAGCAGCTCAGGGCCGCGAAGGTGTCCCATCACGAGTCGGGAGGGAAGCTCTGCACTGGCCTGCCTGAGGCACGGCTGTTACGGCAGCTGGATCCCATGGCCAAGGGTGTGGTTCGAGCTCCAGATTGGGGGGGGGGCTCGAGAAACACACCGGGCAGGTGTGCATGTGTGCCCACAGCCCCAAAGGAGGGACGGGTGGAGAGGCGGGACTGGCGTGACTGCCCATGGCGGGTGCTCTCTCTCTCTCTCTCTCTCTGGTGAGCGAGTCACATGTGCCTCTGGGGAAATTTTTCACTAAATTACAAAAGAGGAACGAAATGGTTTCCCATGATGCTCCGGGCAAATCATTGACTTCCGTGAAAATGGCTGATTTATTGAGCTCGCTTTAAGGTTATGGCTATGAATCAGGATTCCCACAGGGCGTGGCCTCTGGCCATCTTTCCTGCCCTCTCGGGAGCAGTGCACGGACTGTGGGTTATGAATCACCCAGAGCTGGGCTGATGAAAGCAAGCAGGTTTGCAAAGGAAGGTTAGTGCCTTTAAAAAAAAAAATTTAGCTTTGAGTAGTTTAACAGAAAGTTTGTGAAGATAGTAGAGTTCCTATATGAAAATATTTCAAAAAACTTGTAGGGAAGTGAAATTAAAACATGTTTATTTTAATTAAAAAATAGAAATGTTTAGTTTTCATAATATGCATTTCCCATGATTTATTATTATTATTATTATTTTTGCCAGAAGGTGCATGTGCTTGCCAGAGAGAGAGAAAAAATGAGAAAGCAGCCCCCAGGGAGGATGGCCGTGCCACAATCCCCACTTCTCTTCTCCGAGTTTTGAGCGTGCACACACACACACCTGGCGTGCTTTTCAAGTTGCTGGGTCTGGAGTCAAACTGCACAAGCCGTGCGGATCCAGCTGCCTTACCTGCCTCTCCACCTGCGGGCCCTCCACAAACTTTCTGAGCACACTGTGTGTATTTGACACCTACTTCCCCCTGTTGCTAACATGCGTTAGCTTAGTTGCACATGTGACAAGCCATGCTTGTCACAACAAATGACTTGATGGTGATGTGCCTAAAAAACTTATTTCAGCTCCACAGCCCTGCTAAATCAGGGGACTTATTCCATTCATATTTACCACCATACCACCCAGAAAGTCCTTCATTCAGGGAGTCATATTCGCTAGGGACTTTTGCATGCCAGGCCTGCGCTTGCCCTAGGGATGCGTCGGGGAGCAGGTACTCTCTGCTCTCTGGAGCCGACGTCCCAGCCCCGCTGAAAGCCTGGTGCAGGGTCTTGGTCTTAAAGGTCTCAGCAGAGGTTTGTATGAATGGGGAAAAGACAGGAGGAAAGGAAGTAAGAGCGGGAGTGGGAGTCGCAGCGAGGGTGGGACGAGGCAGGAACATCTGTCCCAGGGTAGCAGCCCTGTCCAGAAGTGCCCTTGCTCCCCGAGCGCCTCAGCTCCACGGGGTGTGTCCACTCAGGAGACTGCTGAGCCGGAATGCCTGACCTCATCCTGCTCCACACCCCTGTCCTTAGAGGATGCCGGCTCTCTAAGAAGCAAGCCAGGCTCAGGGGCACCGAGATGTGACGCCTTCGCGTTGAAAGGATTCTGGCAGACACCACCTGACGCCATTCTCTTCAGCAGAAAGCTCAGTTTTGGGGGTAACAAGAATGCGACCTACTTTACTTCCTTGGTTCCCCAAACGGCCTGGGTTCCCCATCTCTCCTCCAGGTCCTGGGGTCCCCTGAAACAAAACGGATTGCAAATCTAGCAGCACAGAGCAATTCTCCTTTAAACATTTGGTGTCTGCTCTCAGAGGAAAATGAGCCACAGATGGGGAAGAGTTATAGTTGTATTGATTCCTGCTCTGGAAAAAAGTATCACAGCTGTCAAATAAAGACAAATAAATAAAAGAAAATTAATAAAGTAATTTATGCCAGATGTTTCCAAAATAATTGTGCTTCCTCGTGAGTCTTTTCTCCCAGAGAGATTCCAGCTCTCACTGTGTGCTCCTAGAGCAGATGTTGCTGGACTGCCTCACATCTGAAGGAGGCATTCCAGATGGCCCTCGCCCGAACTGCGCTTTCACTGGCTCCTTACTTGGCCAGGAAGCATTTTTGAAGCTAAACTTACCCTTATTTGCAAAGAATATGATTTGCACATTAGAAAGCTCAAGAAAATTTACTAAAAACAATTAGCATTAATACAAAATACATTCAGGTAATGCAAGACAAATATTCTGAAATCTTTTTTTCTCTTTCTAGTGATAAGTAAATAAATTCCCATTTACCACCAGGAGGAAAAAAAACCTATAAAATACTTAGTATAAATTCACAAGAAATAGATAAGACTTATGGGGGTCCGTGGATGATGTAATGGTTACATTGCTGGACTCCCACGCAGTCGCCTGGAGTTCGAGTCCCAGACCTGGTGGTTTAAAACTCAGGCTGGGCATGTATGCATGTGTGCTCAAGATCCTGAGAGGAGAATGGAGGAGAAGAGATTGTGGCTTGTGGTGTGGCCATCCCCCCAGGGTGTGCGTGTGCGTGTGCGTGTGCGTGTGATTTCTTGCTTTCTGTCTCTGTCTCTGGTGAGTGTACATGCCCTTTGCAAACATTTCTCTCTCTCTTTCTCTCTCTCAAAAAAAAAGACTTATGTACAGAGAAGCTTTAATATCTTATTGAAGAACTTCGATAAACATAGACTTTATTCATATAGGGGATATATGAGCTATAGTAAACGCAGGTCTTTTCAACATTCTAGAATGCACGTTTTAGAGCACTGGAGCGGACACAGAAGAACCCAGTCCAGGGCTGACACATCTGCCTTCTCTGCTATTAACACTCGGGGCCAGTCTTTCCTCCGGGCTTGCATTCTCCCCCTCTGGGACGCCCATGCAAAGCAAGAGAAAGCGCTCCCATTGAACTGTGTACTCGCACGTAACTCCAGTACCAGTGAACTGAGATCATGTTCCCAATACTTTGGTCATGGATCTTATAACTTAAGAAGAAATAAGCCAATTTCTGTGTGATATGCATGATACTTGGCAAATTAATTTTGTCAAGACAAACAAAACATATGACTACCTTTTCATCTTAAAAAATTAAACACATAATAAATTGGACATAAAATAATTCCTAAGAGGAAGGGCTACTGGAGAATTAATTGGTTACTCAGGAAGATAATAATTTTTCAGGAGCTCACATTTTTCCTTTCCCCTTTTCACTGAAAAGTCTCTTCGGAAATTTCTTCACCTTCCATAGGTAAAGCTCTTGACCCTTTACCTTGTAATTTTCACTCCCACCAGTGGATGGCGTAACTCTCATGACACCTGTCTTGAATTCAGGTTGATATTTTTCTGTCCTTAGCTTATTTGAGATTGATTACAAAAAAGAGCAAACTGTTCCCTGAACTTCTGTAACACAAAGTTATCGTGGACTTCCCACCCTCCTCCAATATCCTCTCACTTACCTTCCAAGAATCCCCTTCTTCTGCTTAAGTTTCCACACGCCCCAGGGCTCCATCTTCTGATCTTATTTACTTATTTTCTTTCCTTTTCCTCACTTTGTCACCTCTCATGCGTAACACCTTCCCCGATTCACACAGTGACTCCCAGACATGTGCGTCTCCAGCTCAAACCACACAGCAAATGTAGGGGAAGGGGCTGATCTCGACAGAGCTCGTCTGAGACGGCTCCTAGCCTTAACCTTGAGTGCGTTTCCCCGCCCTAACCCCAACCACGTGAACTACTGATGGCCCCAGGCTCACCTTGGTAACTGTCCCTAGGTCACCTGGCTCCTTATTATGGGTGCTCACTTTCCTCTGCTTCCTGGAAAATAGCTCGTTGTCCTGCAAAATCTGATCTCCTTACCTCTTTAACCACCCTCCGTCACCCCAGTCTATGTTGGGTGTAATTTTATACTAACACGAAGCACTTACATCGCAATTATTTGATTTCATGAGTCTCTATTTTTTATTTTAAGAGCAAAGTTTTTGCTATAGGGTGCGTGTACTCACAGGAGAGACAGAGAGACAGAAAGTGAGAAACAGCTCCCCGGGGGGATGGCCACGCCACAATCCCTCCTCCTTCATTCTCCTTTCGGGATCTTGGGCACACACGCACACGTGCCCGGTGTGAGTTTTTAAGTCTCCAGGTCCAGGACTCAAACCATGGTCCACTACATGGGAGTCCAGCGACGTAACCATTACACCACCTGCTGGTCCTTGCCTGAGTCTCTTTTACGAGACTGGCTGTACTTGAGCCTCAGGTCTACATTTGTAGCAAGCTCGTATCCTCGCGCAGGGCTGGCGCACAGCAGGCCGGTAGTGAACGTTTGTCAAGTGAACGGAAGTGCTGGTCGATTGGTTATCCGACCGAGATTGTGCCTGACCGTAACACAGGCAACGCGCTGCTCATCCCTATCCTTGCCTTCCCCGGGGTGGAGACAGGCATTTCGGGGCATCAAATACCCTGGTTAGATTAGGTAATGTGGATACGATACAGGGGTAATGATGAACATTTATGTATGCTGCTTCTTGCAGACAATCTTCCCACTTACATAGAACCATTTTATTTTTAGATTTTTTTTTTTAGGTAATGTGGATACGATACAGGGGTAATGATGAACATTTATGTATGCTGCTTCTTGCAGACAATCTTCCCACTTACATAGAACCATTTTATTTTTAGATTTTTTTTTTGCTATAGGGAGACAGAGACAGAGAGAAAGGGAAAGATAAATCAGCCCCCAGGGACGTGGCCGCAGCGCGATTCCTTCTCCTCCATCTCCTCTTGGGATTTTGGGCACACACACACACACCTGGTGTGATTTTCAAGCCACTGGGTTTGGGACTTGAACCTCGCAGCCACCTTAACCTCCATGCTGCCTGCTGGCCTATCATTTAGTTTTCACAACAACCCAGTGAAGTAGCTAGCTCTTACACTATTCTTATTTTCCAGCCGAGAAAACTGGGGCACGGGAGTTCAGCAGATAGCCCCTGGTCACTGCTGAGGCACAAGGTTGGAAACTCAAGCAGTTGGCCCCGACGCCTCGCCCTGGCCCTGACGCCGTGCTTTGTAAAGACAACAGAGACTCTCCTTCGCGGTTCAAATTGGCATCGAACAACTCTCATCTTTCTTGATATTGCATAGGCTGCGGGTCATTATTTCACTGAAAAGCATAAGTATTTAAAGGGAGGCTACAGCTCCAGCTGGAATTGGCATTTTATATCTGAATTTTCATTCCTGTTTCTAGGCATTAGTTAAATTAGGGTAGACCTTGAGGTCTACCAAATGAAGAGGGAACAGAGAAGGCAGGAAAGACGATGCCGTTCCTTTCAAAGGTTTCCCTTTTCTGCATCGGCCCACGGACCGTATTCTCATACGTCATAACCGCACACTTGGTCTGGTTTATGCAGAAAACTCCTAATGCCGTGTGAGTTCACAGCCTGCAGAACCCTGTCGACACAAATAGCGTCCTTCTCTGCACGTATGCCATAGAAAAACGTATTTACTCCGGTGGCTGGTCCCTGGGTGCCACAGAGCAGCACAAAACCAGAGCAGAGGGTTCGTGGGGCCAATAAACCACTCTCTGCGTATCTGGTTGTGTTAGTCTCTGGTTTTCTTTGGAAACAACAGTTCTGAGAGCCTACCTATCACGTCCTGGGTACGAAGCGGTCTACACAGCTTTGGAACAGCATTTTCTCTGTGTTGACAAGGGTATGTGAAGAAAAGCAAGCACGGAAGAGTCAGGTTTTCCAGACAGATGAATGAGAGAGCCAGACTAGAGAGAAGTGGTGGCTTTTGACGGAATCTGGCCATGCCAGGAACTTGAATGTTATGTTGGGGACCAGTCTTGCCAAAGCGAGATTAAAGGGGACCCACAGAGACCCACAGCAGGGCTAGCGGAATGGTGAACCTGCAAACAGCCCTTTGGACACAGTTTTAGATTCTAGAGCAAGGGGATACAGGACCTTCGGATTTCAACCCATCTGCATCTCAACAGCTTATACGAGCGGGCGAGAGCATCACCTGGTGTATGCTTTTCTCGGCATTTACTGGTTTTCAATTTTTATTATTTTTTTAAACTCTCCATTTGTGGTGCCAGAAAGCCTTAATGATTCAGCGACGTGAATGCCAAGCACTTACTTTTTATCTGTTCAGTTCTAACACGAAATTTTAAACTTCTCACGCTTTTTGAAGAAAGCACCTTCACCAAAATTGGGGACAAAGATCTTCACGAGCTGTAATGAAATCAGCCCCCAGGGACGTGGCCGCAGCGCGATTCCTTCTCCTCCATCTCCTCTTGGGATTTTGGGCACACACACACACACCTGGTGTGATTTTCAAGCCACTGGGTTTGGGACTTGAACCTCGCAGCCACCTTAACCTCCATGCTGCCTGCTGGCCTATCATTTAGTTTTCACAACAACCCAGTGAAGTAGCTAGCTCTTACACTATTCTTATTTTCCAGCCGAGAAAACTGGGGCACGGGAGTTCAGCAGATAGCCCCTGGTCACTGCTGAGGCACAAGGTTGGAAACTCAAGCAGTTGGCCCCGACGCCTCGCCCTGGCCCTGACGCCGTGCTTTGTAAAGACAACAGAGACTCTCCTTCGCGGTTCAAATTGGCATCGAACAACTCTCATCTTTCTTGATATTGCATAGGCTGCGGGTCATTATTTCACTGAAAAGCATAAGTATTTAAAGGGAGGCTACAGCTCCAGCTGGAATTGGCATTTTATATCTGAATTTTCATTCCTTTTTCTAGGCATTAGTTAAATTAGGGTAGACCTTGAGGTCTACCAAATGAAGAGGGAACAGAGAAGGCAGGAAAGACGATGCCGTTCCTTTCAAAGGTTTCCCTTTTCTGCATCGGCCCACGGACCGTATTCTCATACGTCATAACCGCACACTTGGTCTGGTTTATGCAGAAAACTCCTAATGCCGTGTGAGTTCACAGCCTGCAGAACCCTGTCGACACAAATAGCGTCCTTCTCTGCACGTATGCCATAGAAAAACGTATTTACTCCGGTGGCTGGTCCCTGGGTGCCACAGAGCAGCACAAAACCAGAGCAGAGGGTTCGTGGGGCCAATAAACCACTCTCTGCGTATCTGGTTGTGTTAGTCTCTGGTTTTCTTTGGAAACAACAGTTCTGAGAGCCTACCTATCACGTCCTGGGTACGAAGCGGTCTACACAGCTTTGGAACAGCATTTTCTCTGTGTTGACAAGGGTATGTGAAGAAAAGCAAGCACGGAAGAGTCAGGTTTTCCAGACAGATGAATGAGAGAGCCAGACTAGAGAGAAGTGGTGGCTTTTGACGGAATCTGGCCATGCCAGGAACTTGAATGTTATGTTGGGGACCAGTCTTGCCAAAGCGAGATTAAAGGGGACCCACAGAGACCCACAGCAGGGCTAGCGGAATGGTGAACCTGCAAACAGCCCTTTGGACACAGTTTTAGATTCTAGAGCAAGGGGATACAGGACCTTCGGATTTCAACCCATCTGCATCTCAACAGCTTATACGAGCGGGCGAGAGCATCACCTGGTGTATGCTTTTCTCGGCATTTACTGGTTTTCAATTTTTATTATTTTTTTAAACTCTCCATTTGTGGTGCCAGAAAGCCTTAATGATTCAGCGACGTGAATGCCAAGCACTTACTTTTTATCTGTTCAGTTCTAACACGAAATTTTAAACTTCTCACGCTTTTTGAAGAAAGCACCTTCACCAAAATTGGGGACAAAGATCTTCACGAGCTGTAATTCATGTGCTCTAAAACGCGCCCTGAGATATGAGCTAGTTCAAGTAACTCCCTGTTATGGTCTGACGAGGGGCAAGGCCACGCCCGTGCTGGGCCTCTGCCCTGTCTGACGGCACAGAGCAGTGGGTCCACGGTGCTCATGGCGGGCACGGTCCCAGCTGTGCCCTGCTCACTCTTCCTCTGTGATCCTTTTATTTTTGGAGAGGTTTTTGCTCTAGGGCATGTGCACTCGCCAGACAGACAGAGACAGAGAGACAGAAAGCGACAAATCACCCCCCAGGGGAGTGGCCACACCGCAATCCCGTCTCCTCCATCCTCCTCTTGGGATTTTGGTCACACATACACATGTGCCTGGTGTGAGTTTAAGCCACTGGATCCGGGACTTGAACCGTGGTCGACTACGTGGGAGTCCAGCAACGTAGCCATTACGCCAACTGCTGGTCCCTGTAGTAGAGTCTGTTCGCTCTGCTTCTTGAGGCCCTGCTTTCTGGGCTCTGCATCACAGAGTATGCCAGACGAAGTCCTGGCCCTCAGGGAGCTTACGCTCTAGAAGGGAAGACGTACACAGCTAGACATGGGGCAGCAGGTGGCATGGTAGTTAAAGGTGCTGGGTTCTCATGTGGCTGACCAGGGTTCAAGTCCTGGGCCTGGCAGCCTACTTTCTCACTTTCCCTTTCTCTCTCTCTCTGGTCAGATTAAAAAATAATGATAACAAATGGAATTAAATAAATGACTAATTCTTTTTTAAAAAACAACTAGACATAAATATCATAAGTATTAATATTGGGTTGTCAGAAAAGTCATTTTTTCTAAGTTTTTTATGCAAATATGTGTTGTGACTTTTTCGAAGACATAATGCCAATCACCGCAGGAAGGCCAGCATGGCATTCTGTGGAGCCTTGGCCCTGGAAGTCTGGTCTGGACACCAGCAGCGTCAGCATCGCCTGGGAGCTTCTCAAAAGTGCCAAAAGTTGGGACCAGCAGTTGGCGTTACGGCTATGTCGCTGGACTCCCACATAGTCGACCGCAATTTGAGTCCTGGACCCAGTGGCTTAAACTCGCACCGGGCGCGTGTGCGTGCGTGCCCAAGATCCCGAGAGGAGAATGGAGAAGGGATTGTAGCATGGCCATCCCCCCTAGGGGGTGATTTCTCGCTCTCTGTCTCTCTGTCTCTGTCTTTCTGGCAAGCGCATGCACCCTATAGTAAAATAAACTCTTCGAAAAAAAAAAGTGCTGCAAGTCAGGCCCTGCCCTAGACTTCTGAGTCAGAACCGCATTTTAACCAACCCTCGAGGGGATTCTTACGCGCTCTGAAGTGGGAGAGCGCTAGGGCTGTTCAGTCCCCCCAGTCCTGGGCACACTGGGGGTCCCCTGAGAGAGTGCTGAGCTGACCGACGCCTGTGCCTCACTTCGGACTCTGACCGGGGTCTCTGGGGAGGGTCTGCTGTGGTCTCCCTGGGGAGTCTCATGGCAGCCAAGGCGAGGACCGTTAAAGTAGACTGTATTCTGGGGTGGCGGGAAGGCCCAGAGGATCAGGATCAGGGAACCTGCGTGACCTAGCTGGCGCAGAGGAGGCGTCCTCCCCTTTGGAAACTCGCTGAGGCAGTGGGGACCCGGCCCGATTTTCCACCCGTGTCTGACGCCTGCTCTGCAAGGTGGGGGTCGGGCCTGCGCGGTGGCCGCCTCATCGAGCACTGAAGTCCACGCCCTCCTCGGTCAGGGCGGAGCGTGACCTCGTCTGCAGGGAGAGGCCACAAAGGTGAGCTGTGAAGCCCAGACCTGCCTGAGGCCGGCGCGCCCTCGTACGTACCTGGGGGCCTTTCATTCCTAGGCCTCCCTTCTCTCCTTTCACACCAGCCTCTCCTCGCGGACCCTAAAAACACAGAATTAAAGTGTTATTTTTCCCTTAAAGAGAACATGTCAAGATTAACGAGAATATTAGAAATACTAAGCCAGTAACATAGACAGAATATTTTTCAGAGAGAGATTTTTGCTATAGGGCACGTGTACCTGCCAGAGAGACAGAAATCGAGACATCACCCCTGGGAGGATGGCCATGTCGCAATCCCTTCTCCATGCTCCTCTTGGGATTTTGGGCGCATACACACACACACACACACACACACACACACGTACACGCACACACACATGTACACACACGCACGTACACACATGCACACACATGTACACACACACGTACACACACACACACACACACACACACACACTGGCATGTTTTCAGCTGCTGGGTCCGGGACTCAAACCACAGTCAACTACATGGGAGTCCAACGACATATCCATTACGCCATCTGCTGGCCACAGACAGACGTTCATGGAGAGAGCTCGCTCTGTCTTGGTCTGCTGAGCCCGACCTCATCTACACAGGTGCCATGGCCCCGTCTGGGACGTAGGCAGTTGGGGACTTGCCAACAAAGTGACGAGGCGTGAAGGAAATAAGCAGCGGGCGGCCAGGCGTGCATGTGAGTCTCAGGGGAGACAAACCCTACTCACACCACAGCACTGCTGCCGACTCTGGCCTTCGCTAAGACTGAGCCCTTTTTATATTCCAGAAACAATAACAGAAGGAGGCCCATTTAGCTGCTAAGAGTCGTGTGGTGTCAAAGCCTATTTCAGAGTGCGGAGAGGGAAGGTCTAGAGCAGGGGCTGGCAAGCTCCCTCTCTGAAAGGCCAGATGGTAAACACCGCTGGTCCTCTGGGCTCAGGGTTGCTATCGAGCTCTTCAGCTCCGCTGCTGTAGCTTGGAAGCAGCTACAAATAATATATAAACAAACAAGGCTAACTGTGTTCCTGCAGAATTGTTTAGAAACAGAAGGAAAAACAACAAGCTGAGGCTGAAAAATTTGCCCCTAAGCCTTGTTTTGACACCCCCAATCTGAAAATGTCCCCCATGTTCATGGGTTCTGCAACTGTGGATTCAAACAACTGTGGATCGAAAACAAACATGTACACAATAAAAAGTAATAAAAAAGTTGAGTTATTCAGTATTGTTTTCTAATTATTCTAAGCATCTTAATATGCCAAACCTCTACATTTCTTTCTTTCTTTGTGTGTGTGTTTTTCTAGGTCATGTGCACTTGCTGGAGAGAGAGAGAGGGGGAGAGGAGTGAGAAATCATTCCCAGAGGGGATGGCCATACTGCAATCCCTTCTCTTCCATTCTCCTTTTGGGATTTGGGGCACAGGTACATGCGTGTGGCATGATTTTCAAGCCGTGGGGTCTGGGACTCTGTGTGGCCAGCCATGTGGGATCCAGCCTTTTTAACCTCCGTGCCACCTGCTTGCCCAATTCCTACCTTTCTTACGTTAAAAAGAAAAAATAAACTCCTTAACCACATAAATCTGAAACTGGGGTCTTTAAATGGGCTTTCTGCTTAATTCCCAGACTGGAGAACAAGGTGCAGCACACGGTAAGAAGCAACCTGGGCATTTCTACTTCTGGAGCATCAGATTGCCCGTTAGCTGTGGCTTCCACGTGTTATGCAGAGAAACTGTCAGGCTATATCTGCATTTTTCTTCTTTTTCTTCTTTTCTATAGCATATGTGTGCTTATGAGAGAGAGAGAGAGAGGAGAGAGAGAGAGAGAGAATGGGAGAAGTCATCCTTTACAGGGGAAGGCTATGCCACAATCCCTTCTTCATTCTCTCTCCAGATTTTGGGCATGCACACACACGTGCCTGTTGTAATTTTCGAGTCACTGGGCCCAGGACTCGAACCACTGAGTCGCCCATGTGGGATCCAGTGCTTTAATCATCATGCTACCTGCTGCCCCTGGGCTTGCTTCTCTGAAATTACGATCTGAAACAAAATGAGGGTCTATGAAATGGAAGAAGAAATGCCATAGTATCACTTGCTGAGCAGGAAATGAAGCCAGTCTATCCAAATGCTGCCCTACAGCCTGGCGGCGAATACTCTCACTTCGAGGTAAGAAAAGTGTGCTTCCCTCAGCTGGCTAGTCATGAGGAGGGACCGCAATCAGCTAGAACGATACTGGTTCAAGAAAACTTTGCTGCCCTGAAATTCGGTGAAAGTGGACAAAGCTTCTTGTACGATGTTTAAGAATATTTTGCCCAACTTCCCAGTTGCCAATATAGTGTTACTTTTAACTCCATGGATTAGAACTTTTGAAAAATAGCAGAGCCACTGGTTGTCCCGAGTATGGCAAATAGCACATGTATTTCTCAAACTTCCAAAACTCAGTTGGGAAAGGGAAAAAAAAGTAACTTTCTTGTGGTCTGACTTTTTTTTCTTTCATTTCAGTGGTTGCTAGGATCTCCTTTCCCTTCTTTTATTATTTTAGGCTGCATTTTGCCCCTTCTGGCACAAGCCTCCTGTCTCCTCATGTAATCAGTGTAAGTAGCCAAATACGGCCTGTTCCTTACAGAGGGAAAAGGGCTTGAGGCAGCTCCCAGAAGTGAGACAGGACAGGCCGAGGGCCACACCATAGATCACTCTGAGGACTCCCATTGTATTCGGAACAATTCTTGCCTAAGAGCGGAGCCAAGCTCTCTACCTCGTGGGCATCCGGACATGTAGCACGGAGCTAGACTGTGCTAGATGGATCACAAGTCCCTCAGCGCTTCCCTCTGTGCGGTGGTCCTGAACCCGCCGTTTCAGGAAACACTGCCCACTGTGTTCCTCCTCTGCTCACCTCCCGACTGGGTCAGCTCTTGGGTCAAGCAGGCCAAGTGTTGCACAAGTCAGGCTGTGCGGCTCCCTTATCTCACTGCCCTGAAAATACCTTAAACATCTGGGGTTCTGCAACAGGGTGGGCAGAGGTTTCTATCAAGGCTTCAGATTCTTTCATTTCCAGAGACTTTCTTGTATTTGCAAATGCTGATTGGTGTTAACACCTACCTGAGGGCCCTTGAGTCCCAGTGAGCCTTCAAGTCCATCTGGACCTGGAACACCGGGATTTCCCTGTAAGAAGTAATCAACATGTTAATACTTTTTCCTGATCATTTTGTTTCCTTTATGTGCAAGATTACACATTTTTTTTATTACAATGATAGTGGAAATATGAAAAGAAAAGGCAATGGAAAGAACACAAAAGTCCATAACCTACCAAGCAGAGATACCACAATGAGCATGTTTGTGTATTTCCTTCCAATCCTTACGTATACATGTGTGCACGTGTGTGCACTCACCCACCCGCCTCTTTTTCAATAAAATTTGTACCTTACTATTTCTGACTTGAATATGTGGCCTGAAAAAAATGCACAGTTTACTTATGCTTCCATCAAACATCTACAGCTGTCTTGCAATGTTATATTTATAGCCGAATAGATGAAGTATATAGGAATCAAAAGTTAAGCATTGTCGTCACATCATTCTTAGACTCTGGTGCAGACAAGAATTCCAAAAAGAGTAAAGAAGAATTAAGAAAGTGAAATTAGGCGACTATTAGGATAGCCTGAATTTGCATCTCAGTCTTATGTACTGGGATATGAGTTAATGTCCTTCAGTGCTATCTTCTCCTAGAAATCAGAAAGAATAAATTTCTGAACATTTTTTTTTTCTCCAGTATAATTTATTGCATGCCATTTTCTGTGTTTGCTTTCCTTTTTGTTGAAGTCCAACCTTGAAGTGTGCTATGGTCTGCATGTGTGTATCCCTCTAACATTCATATGTTAAAACTTCATTCTCCCTGCAATAGCATTACAACAGGAAACTTTGGGAGGTGATTGTGTCATGAGGGCTCTCCCATGTGAAGATGCAGGAAGAAGGGATACTTCTACTGCAGAACAAGCTGTCACCAGACACTAAATATGCTGGCACCTTGATCTCAGACTTCCCAGGCTTTAGGACTGCAAGAAATAAATTCTGTTGTCTATAAACTGTCAGGTCTAATGGATTTTTTATAGCAGCAAGAACAGACTAAGACAGTGTGTGTGTGCCTGGATGGTAAACTGTCTTTATCTGTCTGAAAATGTCTACTGTACTTCAACTCATAGTTTAGCTAAGTATAAAATTATTGGTTGGTTAATTAATTTTTCTTCTTCATCTTCAATATATTATTCTGTTATTTTATGATATATATTATTGTCAAACAGAAGTCTGCTGCAATCTAATTTGTCACTCCTTTCATGAGTAAAACTGTCTTGTATCTCTGGTAATGTTTAAGATTATTAAAAAATCTTTAACATTCTGAAGTTTCACTGTGGTGTGATTTAAGGTGGATTTATTATTCACCGTCACTGTATTTGAACCTGCTGATGTGTGTTTTATAAGACTCTGTAATAACTACTCTCCCGTAAATGGCGTAGGCTCATGAAGCATGCATAGTGTACTACCAGCATGTGCATGCTGACTTCTGTATAACCAACTTTTTGAAAAAAATATTCAGAATATAAACATTTCATTGGAACTTTATAGTATTCTTTTGGTTAATTTGGGGCTTTATGCAAATTGTAGTGAAGGTTCAGAGTGAATTGAACAAAATCTAAAAATAAAAATAGTTACACACTGAGTTGTAAGCTTGTACTTGAAATCCAAACAGAATTGAATTTAACAATAAGTAGCTTAAGTGCTATCTTTGGTCATTAATTTTCATGGTTTTTGATTAAAGTGTCCAAATTTTTATTTCCTTTTAAAATTGGAATTCTTGAAATTATAGCCTAAAAGTTTTCTAACATTTTATCGCATGACTAATAAACAAAAGAGGTTTAGAAGAGACTTTAGACAGCCTTGTTTTTAGCTCCATGATTATGCCATCAACCTGTATCTATCGTTTGGAGTTCAGAACAAAATGACTGTACCTGTGGGCCTACATGTCCCCTTCGGCCAGGAGGTGCCTAAATGAGAGGGGAAAATGGACATCATTGATTTTTAAAAAAATGCTTTTTACATTTGACTTAAATTAGTAGTGGACATCTATCTTAAGGCACAGATATAAATAAAAGCTCCCACAAAGCGCTCAGAACATTCAATTTTCCACTGCACCATTCAAGCAAAATTGCTGCCAACTCTGAATTTCTGCTCTAGGGCAATTGAAATCTACAGATACTTATGAGACCAGATTGTGGTCAATAAGTTGTCATCCACTAAACTTTTACTAGAGCAGTTCACAAGCTGCAGGATTGACTGATTCGAGTTTTATTTCTTTCCTTTTCCCCAAGCCAGAATTTAGGACTGAACTAGACAACGGGCCTAAGGCCAGAGGAAAAACTGAAGAACTGACTCCGTGAACTTTGTGATAGGTTAGGTTCAGAAATTGAATATAGCTAACCTGGTTTTATTTAGAAAAAGCCAAATAATACGCTTTCCGGTCAGAAATGGAAAACACATCCCAAGCATTCAAAAGGTACTCAATTCAGTATGTTAATAAAGCAGCGAGTAAAAATGATGATGATGCACAATCAAGCAAACTACTGCTCTCATATGCAGAGCTGAGGCATTTTCCAGATCAATATTCCATAGAAACATTACTGACGTGCTGCTGTCTAACTTAGAACCACTCAGTAAGATTATAGCAAGACTGACATCCACGTTTTATAAAGTTTGGCAAACATCAGGCAACATTTTCTTGATGGAATTTTGTCTGAGATGCTCTCTCAGGGGCCAGTAGATCAGACTTTTAATTCTCTTCACATATGCCAGTTGGAAGCTATTAAGTTAAGAAAAAGACCATATTGGGGGGAACATAAGTCTATTTCTTCAAAGCACTGAGTCATTTCTAGATGAAAATCTAAATTCTGTGCATCAGAAGGATGTGAAGGAGCTGTTTCTACCCCTTTAGCACGGGGTTTTTCTGCTGTAATTCAATTAATTTCAGTTTCATTCAGAAAAATATCTACTGGTAGAAATTGTCATTGAGAAAAGTATCTGCCACTCACTAAGTATACTGGCGAGAACCTGTGTACAAGAGCATAAAAACAAGACTTACAGGGACCAGCAGTTGGCATAATGGCTATGTCGCTGGACTCCCATGTAGTCGACTGCAGTTTGAGTCCTGGACCCGATGGCTTAAACTCATGTCAGGCGCGGGTGCGTGTGTGCCCAAGATCCCGAGAGGAGAATGGAGGAGAAGGGATTGCAGCGTGGCCATCCCCCCTGGGGGTGATTTCTCTCTTTCTGTCTCTCTGTCTCTCTCTGTCTTTCTGGTGAGTACACGCACCCTATAGCAAAAACCTCTCCAAAAAAAGAAAGAAAATCTTTCGCTGGTTCACTTTCAGAGTGTTTGAAACATCATCAATAAACTTTTATTCCCCTGTGTCTTTAGGGATTGATTTTTTTTTTTTTTGAGAATGAGAAAGGTTATTACTATAACTGATCAAACCACCTTTGAATAGGACCCTGTTCACTGAAGAACTCGTGGGGAGGGAGAGCTGGGATTGGGTCGTGGCTCTGACATAGATGAGTTGTCTCAGGCACTTTCTCATCAAGCACATTTTCTTTCTTTGTTTTTCTTTAATGAGAGAGAGAGCAGCAGGGCCAGAGAGAGAGAGAGAGAGAGAGAGAGAGAGAGAGGGAGAGGGAGCTTTCTGGCAGGTTCTCATGTCTCCCTCTCTCCTGCCCCAGCCTCCCAGTTAGCTAGGACAACAGACATGCCATCGTGCCCGTCTGTGCAGCTGAGCCGGGAACTGAGCCCGGGTCCTCCATGGAGCCTCCGCCTTGGGCCACGGCAACCTGCCACCTGCGTCCACGTCTGGGCTGGGTGTGATCTCTTCCACCGTGGGGCTACATCGTCCTCCAACTGTTGGCGTTTAAAAGATTCTTGCAGCCCAGCCATTGTGCAGTGGATGGCCGGAAGCCATGAGTTTGGATCTTCAGGTTGGCCTGAAAACACGCTAGGCACATACTTAGGCCTGGGATCGAAAAGGCTAGGGAAGGGATTGTGGCACGTGAGACCCCACCAAGGGTGAACAGAGAAATCCCACTTTTTTCACCAGGGTTCAGATTTTAAACAGCTGGCCAGTACCTGTCCTCATTTGTGGTGGAAGTTGTGGTTATTATTATTTTTATAACTTCTTCCGTTGTTTTGGTGAGTTGCACTGAAGAATAGTCAGAAAGCACTTCCGCCTTGCCATCTTTAACTGGGAGTCCTACTTCTATTCCCAAATGACACTGCTGAGTCTAAAACCCCAATGGCCATGCCTCTCAGGAGCTGCGTGACGTTAATAACACAGATGGGACTCCATCAGCCTCTAGGGAGGCTCCAGCCACTGTGAAACAATAGCAGTACCTCCTCACATGCCAGGGTTTCCTGGCTGAGATTCTTTAAGTTGAAAATATTTTCCAGGGGTATGTAAGCAGGCTACGCCCTTTCAGAAAGTGCAACGAGCAGCAACTGTATTTCTTTATCTGCATACGGGTCTGTATGTTTTAAACGTCTGTTCTTATTTCCATTTTCACTGCTTTGCAAAGGAATGGGTGTGCTCCAAGATACAGAGACTTTTCCCGATGGGTACAATAGCCGGCTCTGTGATCTCGGAAAACGCGCTCTGTAACCACGCAGCGCACCGACCTGGTTTGTAATCCGTGCTCGATTTTAAACCTTCTATACGTTTTGGGGGAGAGGCGGTGGAAGAAGGTGGAGGAGTGGATAACTAGATAGAGAATGAGAAGAATCGGTTGCAAAATGAAACGAGACAGATCTACCTTAGACCCTAATACGAGCTTCTAAGTATTGTGTGGTGAAGTTATTTCTTCCTATTGGATAAAGACGTTTTTTATCATCTCTGCATTTTATCTAGCAAATACAGAAATTTTAAGAAAGTACTCAATAGGAAATGACAAAAACAAGTAAACAGAAATAAAAGAACATAAACAAACCAACCCCTAAAGGGCTCCATAAACAATTGACTTAATTTCAATCCCAGACATGCCTACGCCAGGGCTGACTTTTGTTTTTTCTTTCTTGTTTTTTCCCCTTTTTTTTGCCATGGGACACATGTACTCACAGGAGAGAGCGAGAAACAGAAATGCCCCCTAACCCCCGGGGAATGGCCATGCCACAATCCCAGCCCTCTCCTCTCAGGACCTTGGGGTGCATGAACACACATCTGATGTGATTTTCAAGCCACTGGCCTGGATCCACAGCAGAGTTTGTCCTGTGGCGTCTAGTCCCCCCTCCACCATGCCACCTGCTGCCCACTCCCGCCCCACCTGCCAGCCTTTCTTACTCATCACATGGTCCGGCAAGGGCTGGAGCTCGGATGGGGAGC